TAAACTACAGGTGCTCTTAGATTTATAAAATTTAATATTTGTCTTTATCGTAAATATTCTAGAATAAAATTATACTTTACTTATCCAGATCATTTGTGCCAATTTTCCGTTTATTAAAACGTGACATACCATCTGATAGTCAGTATTGGGCTGTTTGGACACTCGCTAATCGTACCAGGGTGGAAAGTGAGTATTATTTGATAATCATTATTTTGAAGCTATTAAATTAAATTTTGTACACATTTATTATAAAATGATTTGAACGTAATTATGAATCATTAGATGCAAAGTATTGCTTACTTTTGGCCAAAGAAAATGGGATTAAAGTGTTGGAAGAGTTGATGAAAAGAGGAGACATCGCTCCCCATATAAAACAGTTGTGTTCACTAACTCTATACCAATTCGAGTTGTTTTGTAACCATTCAAATGTGGATCAGCTCCAAGTCAGTGATAGCATTGATATTCCCACCGACTTCTTAAGCCGTCTGAAAATCAATTAATAGTTGGAAATTATCTGAAATAAATTAGCAAAATTGTAAATTTGTTAAAACATATATTTTATAAACTTATTTACAAGTATACTTATTTTACATACTTGATAAAAGTTATTAAAAGTTAAAGTAAAGTAGAAGTTAAGTATGTAATTTGCATTAAGAATGTGCCTGTTTTCAAATGTAATTCTTCATTATATAATCTTAATTTAATACTTAATAATAATATGTTTATTTATAATTATGATAAGAATTTCTAAATTTAGTGAAAAGCTTTTGTTATTAATAATTTTATTTTGATTAAGAAACGATAATATCCTGTTTAGAGTTGTCATGTAATTGTGACATCTATAATATTTCTAAATTCATTTATGATAAAGAGATTTACTTTTAAATATCATTTAAATAAACATTTAACTTTAATTTATTAATAATATTAAGAATACAACAAACTCAGGGTCAATTCTCTATAAATATAATTTAATCTTAAATTGTTGTTACCTTTATAGTAATTAAATATTACTCATCTTATATAATAAATTTTATATTACCGGTAATTACAGAATAATACACTTTACAAATGAAATAAAAGGGGTGTATAAACTTACTAGAAAAATAGAAATAAACAATAAAATTTCTTTACAATAATAAAATAGTCATACGATTGCTAACATATTTTTTATTTGCTTTACAAGCGAAAAATAAATTTAATTGCTTAATGACTATATAAACCTACAATTTATGAGTTTTGTTGTCAATTAATAGTATATTTTCTGTTTACGATTAGTATGAGTAAAATATATCATCTAATTATAACAAAACAAATGGCCGGTTATGAAAGGGAACGGACTGTGGATTTGAGTGATTTAGAGAGGGATGAGTTATCGTGTAGTATATGTCAGGACCTACTGAACCGACCGGTGGTCGCCCAGTGTTGCCTTCAGATGTTCTGTAAGGACTGCATTCATAATTGGCTCGACTCTAGCAATACCTGTCCTTACGATCGGAAACCACTATCGGTTAGAGAGTTATGCCGTCCACCCAGGTATGGTACACTCCTAATTAATTATCACTTAAAATTTTAATTTGTTTAATTATTTTACAGAATTGTATTAAGTATGCTATCAAATTTGAAAATAAGTTGCAATTTCAAAGGAAATGGATGTCCAGAAATGTGCACATTAGAGGAATTACCACAACACATAGTCAACTGTCCCTATAATGACAATTGTATGGACTATTCAGATTTCGATCAAATGAAATGTTCAAAGTCTCGGAAACAAACAATTTGTGATCAAATATTAGTAGATGTGAATCAATACAAGCAATTGATTGATGAAAACAATGAACTGAAAACAGAAAGACAGTCACTATTGCAGAGAATACAAGACATCACTCGAAGGGACACTTATTTGAGAAACCGATCTTTTACTGTAATTCTTGTCAATTATTTAATACATTTTTACATATAAATAAAATTTAGAAATAAATTCTATATATTTTAATTGTAGACTAATTGTGAGAATGGAATATTAACTCAATCAACATCATTGGTAAGTTAAAACACAAACTTTATACAACAGTACTGTATTATAATTTATTGTATGGATATGTTTAGGGGAATTGTATACAAGAGATACCCGGTTGGATTCAAAATGGTTTAGTGTATCCGCAAATAATTGATAATAAAATGAATGAAGAGATTACAGACAGAGTGTTAGCCATAGTTTGCGATGAAATAAACCAAGAGATGAGTGTTTCATTGGTTTCACAGAAAATAGTGACAAATCTGAATGAATCGTTGGGTCATCGGTGGCACTGCACTGTTATCTACAAATACGGCACTCGAGCCATATTCATATATGAACCGGGATTCTGGATTCAATTGAAGTTTGGGTTACTATTCTTCATTATATATAAAACGCAAACAGTATGTCATATGAAATGCTAGTAAAACTATAATATATATTATGTAAGAAAGTTTTTGAGAGTCAATTTGTGATTTAATGTTTTATTCATAATTAAATGAATAGTTCGGTGGAAAACAGTTGAGAAGTGGTGAGCGATGGAAAGTTCCCTGTATTCAGAAGTGGACCAATTAATGCTAATATTAATGTTAAATATTACATTCTTATTAATAACAACAGAACCAGGGTGAAATGCTATAGTTTGTAGTATAGAATAAATAGGTAGTAAAGGACAACTTGTTAAATTGATATAAAATATTGAAATTTTATAAATTTATAATTTTTATAAATAAATTTTTAAAGTCAATAAATGATTTTTTACTTTTTACTTTAATGTGTCCATTCGATCACATCTATATTTATTAAATCTTATTTAACAAAAATAGTTTGTATTTATTACTAGACATTGAAAATAAGTGAAAATATTTTTATTATCACACTTTATCATTTTGAAACTTCAGTCCATTTCACTTGGAAAAATTATAAGATATTACTAATAATAAGTTAATATGAAAGCCAATTGAACAAAACAGATATTTGGTCAATACTGCTAACAAACTCCAAATTCATGACTCCATGAGTTAGTGAAAACACGTTTGCAAACCTAATGCTAACTTCAACTTAACGTTTAGCTTTTTATCCAATAGTTTATCTCTGATTATATCCCACGAAAACTACTTATTGAGTGAAATGTATTAAAAATCAAATTATTTTAATTGCTGGCAAATTGCGGTGACAGTAATGCCGGGCTTTTCATCGGAAAGATTTGTGAATTTGAGTGAATGGGAGAGAAATGAGTTGTTGTGCAGTATATGCCAGGATGTGGTCAACTCACCCCTTGTCGCCCAGTGCTGTCTTCAGACCTTCTGCAGGGACTGTATTCACGAGTGGCTTAATGTCCGCAATAGCTGTCCGTACGACAGAAGCACTCTAAACACCACACAGTTGGCTAAGCCTCCACGGTATGCCTATTATCGAGTGCACATACATGTGATTTTAGAAATAAGTGCAACATTATTAGTAATAATTTGTATGATTTGACAGAATATTGTTGAATATATTGGCGAAACTAGAAATTCGTTGCGATTTCGCGTCCAATGGGTGTCAAGAAGTGCTTAAATTAGAGGAGTTGTCTCAACACTCGTCGAAATGCTATTTCGGTTCCGGGTTTTGTGAGAAATGCTTTTGTCTTATCTCAGAGTCGGATGAGTCGCACAAATCAGTCCACAATTGTGTCCAATCTTTGCTTCAATTGAATCGCAAATCAAACCAAGAGATCGAGTCATTGAAGCAGACATTGCTGTCCAATACGGGTGTGACGGACGGCCAGATCGGCGATTATATGCTGTTAGATGTGAATCAATACAAGAGTCTTATGAATGAAATGAAGGCATTAAAGGAAGAAAATGCAATCACTTTGGAAAGGCTTGAGAGACAGGAATACAGTAACAGT